CCCGTCCTCCCACCACAATGGAACTACACTACAGATCAGTAACAGAGAGATAATGGGAAACCCCCAATATTTGGAAACCGTATTACACACTTGGGTAGAATACGCAGAACACAAGGTTTGCCTTTCCGACTGTTTGCAGGCGTCCAGGTCAGTGGCCTGGCGCACACGCGCTGTAGTCCTGCCATCACCGCGCATCCAGAGCGCTCTGTCGTCTTGCAAAGCTGAGGCGCTGGGCCCTGGAAGGGCAGCTCCCCGCACACCCCCCAGCCACTGGGGGTCACAGTTCTGCCTTCTGTCTCTGCCTCTCGGGGGCCTCACCTGAGTGGACTCATCTCTTGCTGACTGGTTTATGTCACTGGGCACGGTGTCCTCAGGGTTCATCCGTGTTGCGGCATGGGTCAGAATTTCCTTCCCTTGTAAGGCTGAATAATACTTTTGCTTTATTTTTTATTTTTTTAAAATTTATTTTTAGCTGCGTTAGGTCTTCGTTGCTACGCACGGGCTTTCTCTAGTTGTGGCGAGCAGGGGCTACTCTTTGTTGCGGTGCGCGGGCTTCTCACTGCGGTGGCTTCTCTTGTTGCAGAGCATGGGCTGTAGGTGCGCGGTCTCAGTAGTTGCAGCATGTGGGCTCAGTAGTTGTGGCTCGCGGGCTCTAGAGCGCAGACTCAGTAGTTGTGGCGCACGGGCTTAGTTGCTCCGCGGCACGTGGGATCTTCCCGGACTAAGGCTCGAACCAGTGTCCCCTGCATTGGCAGGCGGACTCTTAACCACCGCGCCACCAGGGAAGCCCAACTGTGCTTCATTTTAAAAGAGAGACAACGCCCTCAGGCCGGAGGAAGACAGAGGCAAGAGCTGTGAGATGACCCAGTGTATGCAGCTGGCACTGGGCATGGGCTCAGCTGCATTGGGTCAGGACAGGATTTCCTGGGCTTCGGCACCTGGGATGGTTAGTTTCCTGTGTCAGCGTGGCTGTGCTGGGGTGCCCAGTTGTGTGGTCACATACCCGTCTAGATATTGCTGTGAAGGTATTTTTCAGATGTGATTAACGTTTGAATCAGCTGACTTGGAGTAAAGCCGAGCACCCTCGTAATGCGGTGGACCTCATCCGACCAGCTGAAGGCCTTTAGAGAGAAGACTGAGCTTCCCTGAGGAGGAAGGAATTCTCCCAGCCGACTGCTTACTAGAATTTCTAGCCTGCCAACCTGCCTGCAGACTTCAGGCTTGCCAGTACCCACGTGGCATGAGCCACTTCCTTAAAATCAATCTCTCTCTGTCTCTGTGTCTGTCTCTCTCTCTGTGTGTGTCTGTATCTATCTATCTGTCTGTCTCTCCATCCTATTGGTTCTGATTTTCTGGAGACCCCTTAGTAAGACAGTACCCCTTTCTGTCTCTAGTTAGGCCCTGAGAATGGCACATTGAGGCCACCACGAGAACAGGCAGGCTCCATTTACTTGCTGCACCATTTCGTCCTTCCCTACCGTGGATGGCAAGGTGGCCGTGAGAGGACCCTGGGAGGCTGGCTCAGCTCCAGGTTCTTCCTACAGGAATGATACAGCTGAGGCTCGGCCTCAGAAGACGTGCTTTCAAGTCCTGCTTCCTCTCTGCCCACAGCCATCCGTGTCCTTGGGAAGGGTGCCCTCCTGCCTGAGGAGGAGTGGGGGTGGGTAGAGAGGATGAGGGGGGACAGAGAGATGGTGGCCTAGCTGCGGGCCCCTCTCCCACCCCTGCCCACCGGCTGGCTGCACTGGCCTTTGCAGGGCCTGGCGTCTCTGTGGCTCATCGGGGAGGCTGATCATGGAGGCCCAAGGGGAGAGGGAGGCGGAGCTGGCACGCTGTCCTCCTGCCCCCGGGACGGCACGAAATTAGCACAGAAAGGAGCATGAAAATGAAAAAACGTTTCTCTTTCTTCTTGCCGCCTCATTCTTGGCTCTCTTCCTGATCTTGCTGAAATTAATGTTTACCATCTCTTGAGACGTCAGAGAACAGAGCTGCTGCTTCTACAACATATTTTCAATGAGAAGAAAAGAAAGAACCAAGCCTGGCTGGGTGGTGGGCTGGGCCACCCTCTCACTGCCCGTTGGGCTGGGTGGCCCCTTGTTTGGCTGCGTCACCATGTATGACATTATCTAAATGCACTTTTTTTTTTTTTACTTTATTTTTTTAACATCTTTGTTGGAGTATAATTGCTTTACAATGGTGTTAGTTTCTGCTTTATAACAAAGTGGATCAGCCACACATATACATATATCCCCATATCTCCTCCCTCTTGCGTCTCCCTCCCTCCTCCCTATCCCACCCCTCTAGGTGGTCACAAAGCACTGAGCTGATCTCCCTGTGCTATGTAAATGCACTTTTCTTACGTGCAAATATTAGTCAGGATCAGTGGAAAGATTAAAGAATAGATTTGTTACCCGAGAACAGAAAGTGCTCGTGTAATTAGAGACCTGGAAGGAAACCCTGGGTCCTTTTATGGGAAGAAAACTGGACAAGTTGAGGGCTCCCAGCAGTCCCGAAGGGCCATGAAGCCGGGCTGGGCCCTCATCCCGGGCTTAACTAACTGGGCGTCCCCTTTTACTGCCTTCAGAGTGAACAAAGAATACAAACGCTTCCCTAGTAAGGATTCAGAAGGCTTGTTTAGCAGTGGGGTGGAATCACTTAAAATTAGCTAAGCTTTTGCCAATTGTATGTAAAAGTTCTCAAAGCCCTTAATAAAGCATTTCTTACTTATTCTGATTCCACTATAGGCTTACCTACACCATCTTATTATCTCATGGCCAAAAGGTTTGCTAACTAAGATAAGCTTTCACTCCTGCCTTGTTCCAATCCTCAGCCATCCTGCATTCCCAAAGGCACGTTAGCTGTTTTTAAAAGTTAGGGGGCTTCCCCGGTGGCTCAGTGGTTGAGAGTCCGCCTGCCGATGCAGCGGACACGGGTTCGTGCCCCGGTCTGCATCTTTCCAAGCAGGGGCAGGTTTGTTGATCTGCAAGGACGTGCGTTCCTCTGCTGCACGCACGCTGATGCTCTGTGTGTCGCCGACCACGCTTGGTAGCCTTGGTGTTGAGAGGAGCACAGTTTCCTGGAAGTATTGGCCTCTCCCGCGGGCTCATGAATCCGCTCCGTGAGTCGGGCTGGTGGGAGTCAACCAGCTGCCGCAGCTTGTCTTCATTCTGTGCGCTCATCTGCCTCTGGGAACCAGCGATTTATAAACAAACATTTATTATTTACAAGATCGGAAACGTTACATTTATGGAACTCCAGAAATAAACTGTCAGCGACCAGGAAACATATTTTTGATGCATTGCAAATGTACTTCCCACGTCAACCATTTGCCCAGATGGCCCTCCAGTTTGTCAACTGAAGATGAGCTCTTCCCTCGTAGCATCCGATGCTTTGAAAGTTTATCTTCCTCTTTCATGGCCATGCTTCCCGTGGGGTCTAATCTATTTTCTGTCTCCTTGTCAACAATACCTCAAGGTGTGATGCAATAATTTGAGGGCCACGGAGTAGTAACTCGGTCTTGTATTTACGAGGCATCCTTCTCCAAGGGAAGCAAGGTGCTCTAAGGACAGCTCATGTGCCGTACACAGGGGCAGGTATTACTGTTATCTTTTAACCTTTTCATTTTGGAAATTTTCACAAGTTTTTGCATGCACAGAAGTAGAGGGAAGAGTATCGTGAACCTGTGTGGACGCATCATTTAGCTGTAAGATTACCAACATTTTGCCAATCTTTTTTTACGACTTTCTTTTTTTTTTCCCCAAACAAACAACCCTTTATTGCAGGTTTTTTTCTTTTCTTTTTCTCTGGCCGCTCCACGCAGCTTGCAGGATCTTAGTTCCCCGACCAGGGATCGAACCCATGCCCCCTGTAGTGGAAGCGTGGAGTGTTAACCACTGGACCGACCACCAGGGAATTCCCTGAAGTATAGTTGATTTACAATGTTGTGTTAGTTTCTGGTGTACAGCAAAGTGAGTCAGTTATAAGTATATATATATATTCTCTTTCAGATTCTTTTCCATTATGGTTTATCACAGGTTATTGAATATAGTTCCCTGTGCTGTATAGCAGGTCCTTGTTGTTTATCTATTTTATATAATAGTGTGTATATGTTAATCCCAACCTCCTAATTTATCCCTTCCCCACCCTTTCCCCTTTGGTAACCATAAGTTTGTTTTCTATGTCTGTGAGTCTATTTCTGTTTTGTAAAGAAGTTCACTTGTATCATTTTTTTAGATTCCACGTATAAGCAATAGCATATGGTGTTTGTCCTTCTTTTTCTGACTTACTTCACTTAGTATGATAATCTCTAGGTTCATCCATGTTGCTGCAAATGGCATTATTTCATTCTTTTTTATGGCTGGGTAGTATTCCATTATATATATACACCACATCTTCTTTATTCATTCATCTGTCGATATTTTGCCAATCTTGTTTCATCTATTTCCCATCCTTTCTTCCCCTTACATAGTTTAAAGCAAATCCCAGAGATCATGCTATTTCACTGCAGTAGGATGCAAGTGTTAATAATTCCACTTTATGGGAAAATAGAAGCACTGAAAAGTATCGCCCAGAATGATACACTGAGTCTGTGGGGGAAGGTAGGTACCAGAAGCCAACTTCCCCCCGTCCTCAACTTCCCCCTGTCCTAACTGTGCTCCTGCAAACTGACGCAGCCATCCCACACACAGATTGACTCGGGCATGTAGAGAGCATGTCACCCACGACACAGTGTCAGCTGGGACAGAGGTCTTCAACCAGATCCATCACATGGAGAGATTTATCTCAGCCCACAACTATTTAAATAAATTAAGAGCTTACTTCCAGAAAGTAAAAAATCAGAGCCCCTCTAAAGAATAACTAGGAAGCTAAACGCCCCAAATTACATTTACTCAGAAGAATGTTATTTAAAATCCAAACATATGGAGTCATAAAGAATAAATGTGTGACCTTTTGTTTAACTGCAACCCTAAAAATACTTATTTTTGTTGTTGCACTGGCAGCTCCAACGTTCCTGCGAGGAGAATGACAGCAAACACCATCTCCCGCCAAGACATCTTGAGTGTCTGGGGTTTTCTGTTGAGCTTTGGATGCCGCCGCATCGAGGAATCTTTGCCAGACGCGTCACCCCCTCCGGCCTCCCCACAAGGGTGGGGCTTCCGGGGCAGCTCCCAGAGGCGAGAAGGCCAGTTCAGGAGTTTCCTTGGCGCCTCGAGGCACCCCCTGGGCAGCTGTTGTACAACAAGAATTTAGCCGTCTTTGTCTCCGGTTCCGGCTCAACCCCTCACACCACACCTGAGTTTATGCTAATGAGGTGACTAACCTTGGCCCCTTGAGAGCTTCAGGTGTGGGCGGGGGGGGGGGGGCCCATCATGCCAGAAAGACCTGGGTTTAGAGGGTGGGGACCTGGTGTCGAGTGACATCAGGCTGACCTCTGACCTCCAGGGAGGGCGGATGGGGGGCGGGGCTGGAAACTGGATTCAATCACAAGATCAGAGTTCAATCATGCGTATGTAACAAACCCCTAATAACTCCAGGCGCTGGAAACTCAGATGCGCGTCTGGATCACGTGGCTGTGCTGATGGGCGGATGGCGCACCCAAGGGGCCTCCCGGACCTCACCTGTAGTCATCGGGACCTGCTTTCCTGAGTTCTGTGAGTCATTCTGGCGAACGATGGAACTGGAGGGGGTGCCGGGAACCCCCAAATTTGTAGCCAGTTGGTCAGAAGTACGAGGGGCCTGGAACCCCGGAAGTGCAGCTGGTGTCCGGAGTGAGGACGGTCTTGTGGGGGGCCGTGTCCTCAACCTGCAGGGTCTGTGCTGAGCCCGGAGCTGGTGTCAGAGTCGTACCGCTCACCCCAGCGCACTCGCCTTGGGCCCAGGCGCCTGGTCCAGATCTGGCCTGCGACCACCCCCAGGTCTCAACATGGCACCCCGGGGGCCTGGGGGCCACGCCCTAAGAGGAGGCAGTACCTCCAGCCTCACCGCGAGCGCGGGGATGGGCCAGCTGCCCTAACGTTTCCCCCACCCACCCCCGTCGCTGCTTCGTGTACGTTTGGGAATGGACCAGTTGTAGTAGATTTTGTTATCGAATAACACACGTCGTTGAAAACTCAAATATAGAAGCAAACAAAAATATAGACGCCGATAAATGAAAATACCCCCAGTGTCCCCATGGGCTGTTGCCGTGCCCTGGAAGAGGTGCCCTTTTCAGGGGAGAAGGAGGAAGTCGGCCCGGTTCCGCAGGGAAGGCGGGGATGCTGCACCCGCCCCCAACCCTCCCCCTGCCCCCTCCTGCTCTGTTCCCTGAGGGGCCATCGCACTGGCTGCCCCCAGGATCCTCCTCTGGCTCCCGGGTGGGCTGGCCGATGTGGGCACCTTCAGAAGGCAGAGGGCCGGCAGAAAGCGAGGGGTCATGCCTGGGTCACCGTGGGTGCAGGGTCCTCGCCCGCTGTCACAGCCCCAGGCATCCGCCTGCCTCCCCGGTTCTGGGACCGCCCCTCCCCTGCCCTCCCTCTGGGGGCTCTCAGCTCTCGATAACCAACCCCATGTGAGGAACCAGCGGTGCCTCTTCCCTTGGCCCCAGCTCGCAGCCAGTGCCCGCAGGAAGTGTCCTCAGATGACTGGGACTGTGTCCCGCTGGGAACAGGGAGGGGGCAGCAGAAAGCAGCCTACGCCCCGTGGGAGCAGCCGCCATCCGCCCAGCACTGAGGGTCATGGTAGGGAAGCCCGGGTGGTTCTGGTCCGACCAGGTTGGGGTGAGAGGGGGCAGGCCCGCAAAGGTCACTGAGGACAGAGGGCAGAGGGCAGGTACCCTAGGCTGGCAGACCCTCTGTGCGGTGGGGACGGGGAGGCCCCTCCTCCATCGTGGGCCTGGGGTCTCCCCAGTGTCAGACGTGGGAGACCCGCCTCATGGGCCGACAGCAGCAAACGCTGGAGAGGCCGGGATACCTGCACCCTGGTGTCTCAGGTTGTCACAGGACCAGGAGGTGGCGAAGGTGTTACCAGGGCAACACGGGCCCTCCAGCCTCTCTCAGATGCTCCAGAGCAGAGTTTCTCAACGTCTGGTCCAGTCCCACCTGCCTCTCAGTCACTGAGCATTTGTCTGAAGTGCGGATCGTTGGTGCTGAGCCCCAGGAAACCCCCCTGCCCCACACGACTTAGATAAGTCCGCGCTTCCTCACGACCCCCGTAGGACTCGCAGAAGATACCCCTTTTTTTTTTCTAGAAGATGCCCTTTTACACACAGGCCCTCCCGTTCTTTGTCTTGTGAAGGGTGAGCTGAGATTAGAATTGTCCCTGTGAAACCAGCTGGACACAGAGACAAACATTTCCGTTCAGCGAACTGAGCCGTCTCTCGATGGCCCTGCCTGTGAAGCCCAAGGCAGGCCCCCTCCGCTGAGAAGCTCTGATCTTGGGCGTCCCCTTACCTTAGCAGCCTGAATAAAATCAATCTCCACTCTCGTTTGTTTTGTCTCCGCAGTCCCACCCTGGGCGCAGGAGTCACTGGCGCCCTTGGGCGATTCCTACGGGGTCAAGTTTGAGCAGCTCAGCCCTAGAGGCAGCAGCATCAGAGCATCTCGAGGGCTGCATGGTCTGACCTCAGACAGACACTGTGCACAGCCAGGTGAGGGGCACGTGGGCGTCAGGCTGGGGGATCCGCTCTCCAGATGCAGGTCTGTCCTCGGACTCGTGTTCACAGGCCTCTCTGATCTGCTCCAGGGGGCAAAAATTAGACTTTGTAAATAGAAACTGATTTAAGTAAGTAAATCAACGGTAAGCATTTTGGGGTCAAAACAGCCTCTTCACTCCCCAGGGACCCAGACTTCTATCCTCACCAGGTCCTCCCCATGCAGCCTTTTATTGGTTTGTCATCATCACCCCTGCTGACGACGAGTGATCTCCCTGGGAGTATCCCAAGAACTGCGGTGGCTGCCCCGTGCTTTGGCACAGAATTCCTCTCTGAGTCAGAGCCCGAGGCCGTTAGCGCGGGGGAACAGCTGCGAGGGCCACACCTCCTCGAGTCATTTGAAAATCTTATGATGAATAAAAACGATCCATGACACAGACTTATGCATTATATATTAGCCTAATACCTCTGCAATTACACCACCAACAGTCTTTTGTTGCACACATGTTTTCCTAAGGACGCTCCGACTCCAGTAGTAAAACGTTGACTATCCAGTGACACTACATAAAATTTCCTCTTTCTGTGTTGTCAAATCCTTAATAACAATGACAAGTCTAACATTCAGTGAAAGGAGGAGAGCGAGGTGGAAACCCCAGGAATGCTAAAAGTGTGGAAAAGAGAATTATGCGTTTTAGATTAAATAACCAAAAGACTGAGCAGAAATACAGGGTCAAAAGATGCTGAAAAAGAAACCTTAAATATGGTTCAAGCACCACAAGCTCTTTAAGCTGTCCCCTGCGTGCAGGTGACCTTCGTTTGCAGCAGTACACCTGGTGATGCCATCACGATGCTTTAAAGGACCCGGTGGCACAGTGAGAACGGGGAAGGTGGGAACTGAAAGCCATGAGCCAGAGAAGGACCTGCTTAACTATTACATTTCAAATGGATAAACAATAAGGTCCTGCTGTAGAGCACAGGGAACTGTATCCAGTCTCCTGGGATAAACCATCATGGAAAAGAATATGAAAAATGATGTGTATATAAGTGTAACTGAGTCACTTTGCTGTACAGCAGAAATTAACACAACATTTTAAATCAACTATACTTCAATAAAATAAATTTTTTAAAAAAAGAAAGAAAAGGATCTGCTTGGAGGACCAAGAGGCCCAGGCTGGAGCTCGTCCTGCCCACAAACCTCGCTGTGCAGTGTGCACATGTTAACTCTATCCAGATCTATCTCCTTCCCTTCCCGGTCGCCATCTCAGGTAGGACGGTCAGGTCGCCAGCACCCAAGTGAGGTTTCAGCAATGCCTTTCCCCCTTTCTGTTTCTCATTAACTCTGTCATTTAACAATTCACTCTGAAGGGCTTCCCTGGTGGCGCAGTGGTTAAGAGTCCGCGTGCCAATGCAGGGGACACGGGTTCGAGCCCTGAACCAGGAAGATCCCACATGTCACGGAGCAACTAAGCCCGTGAGTCACAACTACTGAGCCCACGCGCCTAGAGCCCGTGCTCCGCAACAAGAGAAGCCACCGCAACGAGAGACCCCTGCACCGCAACGAAGAGTAGCCCCCACTCACCGCAACTAGAGAGAGCCCACGTGGAGCAACGAAGACCCAGTGTAGACAAAAATAAATAAATTAAAAAAAAAGAAATCTCAGCTTAAAAAAAAAAATTCGCTCTGAAAACAGCGTTTGGTGGCATGAAGCTTTGTCTATTTCCATGCAATAAACCCACATTTTAATTTCATGCCAGAGCATCCTTTCTTTTCTGATTTCTCCCTATGCTGGCAGCAGCGACTGGCCATATGCTCCGAGGGAGACGGTGTTTTCCTTTGGCTTCCCCCAGCTGGCTCGGAGCAGAGGATGGTGTATTTTAAGCCCCATGCTTTAAAAACCTTGGCAAGGCTTCTGATGAACTAAAGACATCAAGATATACTTGTAACCTGGGCTCCGAGTAGTTTGGATTTTGTAAGGTTTTAACACCAGTGCTTAAAAGAGAGAAAAAAGGACTGGGGGAGCCCAGGCGACAGGTCGGACTCCATCCCTCGAGGGCTGGTCCCGCTCCGGGGCGGGGCTGGCATCCCAGGACAGAGCGTGGTGGTCCAGGAAGCCGCTCCGTGGCCCTCAGAGCCTGGAGGCAGCCCTTGCCAAGGGGATGCAGGTGGTCGGTTGCCCTCGACCACCTAAGAAAGTGCAAAGAAGCTTCTCTCCAGGCTGCCCAAGTTTGCCCCCTTAATGTGTTTGCCGGGTTGCCTGTTTTAGACGTTAGACTGGCACGGCTATGCCTGGCCATATTCTGTCCCTGATTTGTTCCACCCATTACATCCCTGCTCAGCTGGGGATTCAGCAGGCGGGGTCAACAGAAGAAATAGCTTCAACCTCAATTGGTAAAAAGAGTTGCTTCTTTCTTTCTTTCTTTAAAAATTTTTTTCCAAAGATTTAAAATTTTATTTTTGAGTAAGTAATAAATTCACATACTTCAAAAATCCAAATGGATGAAAGGAACATACGTGGAGAATTTGTGTTCCAACCCACGTCTCCATCTGTCACAGGCATAGTTCTAACATGGACCTAATCATTCATGCTGCCCTAGTATCTGTTTTGTGGAAGGTCCTCTCCTGAGTGTGAGTAGACCTTGCTTAACCAGGTCCCGAGCAGCCCACTTTCTGGGACACCCATTTCCGTCCTCACCCTCCGCCCGGCCGAGGTACCCCACCACCCAGCCCCGCAGTGGCCGAGGAGCTGATTCGGTTTTACTGTTTCATTTCCAATATTACTTAGGTTAATACTTGATTTGTAAGTGTCAAACCCGGTATAAATGGAAGGTATTTTAATATGCGCTGGGCAGCAGGGACTGCTCGGGGCACAGGGCATGGGTGGTTTGGAGGGCAGAGTCTGCACCCCTCACCTTCCCCTGGGTCTTCCTGTGCCCTGATGTCTGGAGAAGCCTGTGGTGGGTGCCTGCCCTGTCCATCTCCCCTTTCACCAGCACCCTGTTCCCCCCACAGAAGAAAGGCTGGCTTCTCACTTATCTGGGAGACTGCTCGGATACATCATCCCAGAGATGTTAAAAAAAAAAAGAAATCTCCGGGGCACCCCTCAAAGAAACAACTCGCAATGTCAGAGGACGCCCCACTAATCAAGGCCCTAGGACCGCAGAGTGGGGCTCCCATCTTCCCTGGGCTTATATGTGTATTTCTGTTATGAACAAAATGTAGCATTAGACACAGACATTTTGGCCTGTGTCACGACGTTGGGTATTTGGGGTGGGGGGTGGGCTTGAAAGCAGTGGTCCCATGTAGCTGTGCCCCTTCCACCTCCGATTAGGGAAGAAGGACGAGGGTCCTCAGACAGCAGAGCAGACTCAAAGTCAGACCCCCTCTCCTGGCTCAAGGGTACGACTCCCGGCTTCATCCAGGCGATAACCTTTGGCAGGTCGGAGATGGATTTGCGGGATGCAGGGGCACCTGCTGCACGTTTCCCACAAGGAAGTGTGTGGTGAGTGCTCTCACTAACTGGGGTTCAGCTGCACAGTTTTCATGATTTCAAGGAGGCGGGGAGAAGTCCTCACTTCTGACAGATCAAGGTAACAGCCTCAAGTAAAAGAAACAGATACCGGAGAAAACTGAATGTTTCACGTGTTCTCCAGACTTGGGAAAACAGTCACTGATTTTTGCCGAAAGGTAACTGGTTACTATAAATCCACACTCTTTTATTTTTCTTTTTGACATGGGGCAATCTTGCCTGCTCTCACTCACTCCTGCCTGCACGAAAGTGTGTGTTATATTTAAATGAGCTTAATGGGAAGTGCTGAGGCTTTTGTGTGAAGATGCACTCGGCCATCATCATGGCACGTGTGCAAGCTGGACGCTGACCCCAGCCCAGGGGCGGCTCCCCCATGGCTAAGGGGACAAGCCTCAGGCCCCTCCCGGGAGTAGTGGAGGGGCCGGTCAAGGCTTCACACAGTCAGGTGGCGTCAGACTTGCAAAAGGAGGGTATTTGACCACAATCACTTAAGACCACAGTCTCTTGGGACTTCCCTGGAGGTCCAGTGGTTAGGGCTCTGCACTCCCACTGCAGGGGGCACGGGTTCGATCCCTGATCAGGGAACTAAGATCCCATGTGCCAAAAAAACAAAACCAAACCACAGCCTCTTTCCACTCCAGGGTCCTCCATCACTTTCCCCTCCTGGCCGGCTTGGAGTGGCTGTCGGGGCACACTTTGTCTGGGTTTAGAGACATGTCTATGGGTTCACACTGACTTCCTGTGTGGCCAAGCTACTGAGAGCTGTCTGCCGTGGGCACGGCCTCCGGGGACACTCCTGCTTCCCACCGAGCGACCCGCCAGGCACGGGGATGTGAAGGTGGTGACCAGAGGGGAGACTGCAGTGGGAGCGTCACAGACATGTGCTATGACCATGTCCCATGACCGTGAACATGTAGCATGCTTACAAACATGTGATGTGAACGTGAGCTGTGACCACATCCTGAGAGGTTTGGCAGCAGCGGTAGGTGGGGAAGGAGGAGAAGCAAGTTTTTGTTTTTGTCTTTTTAAACGTTTATTTATTTATTTATTTTGGGCTGCATCGGGTCTTAGTTGCGGCACACATGATCTTCCCTTGTGGCGCACAGGCTTCTCTCCAGTTGTGGCCCATGGGCTCTGGAGCATGTGGGCTCAGTAATTGCAGCGCACAGGTTAGTTGCCCCGCAGGCATGTGGGATCCTAGTTCCCGGATCAGGGATTGAACCCGAGTCCCCTGCTTTGGAAGGCAGAGCCTCAACCACTGGACCACCAAGGAAGTCCTGAGAAGCAAATTTTGAAATGCAGGGAGCCAGAAACTAGTCATGGAAAATTCTTTAAATCATGAAATATGGCATCAGATTTGATTCCCCTCCATACCTAGACGAACAGAACTTCTCTCTGTGGGGAACAAACTCCATAATACAGTACATGCAATCAAACATAGGCCTTGCTTTCTCTTTTTTGATGGGAATCATGTGAAATTATATTGATCAGAATTCCTGTGCTTGAAGCAGTGCTACAAACAGCGAGGATGTCTGTGTGCGGTCACAATTTTTATGTGTCCAGACTAAAAACAAATTTTGATCAACCCTGCAGGTGGAAAGACTGAATTATCTTTCTCTTCTATCAAAATAGTACTATAAAAATGCCATGTGAAGAAGGATTCAAAAAGTATGCAACCAAAAATTATTTCTTTATTAACTGCTCGACACATAAAGAGGTATGTCAAGCCATTATCAAAATATCATGTTATTTTTCTGGATTTTGCGAGGTTTACGGTATCTACCAAATTTTAAAATTTGTAAGCTAGTTTTTCCTCCTTCTAAATAATATCACTTTCATACCTAATTTTGAATTCATAATTGTGCATTATTTTTATTTAAGAGCGCTCCATATTCTGTCAGACTTAGGCCCCACAAAACCTGAATCAATCCTCAAGAGTGTGCTATACTTTCTCTTTTTTTTTTCTGTTAATTTTCATTGAACCTCTTCTAGCCTTAAGTACTAGTCATTCATGGATATAGGAACTAATTGAAAAAAATAGTTTCAATACAAATCACTAAGAAATACGTATCCAGTAAAAACTTACTTTATAAGTTTAGAAATGTTTGTTAAAATTGGACTTTATAAGTAAGTTACTGAGACTTGTAAAAAAATGCTTTAAGAAAAATTAGGTTTTTATTAAGAATACTGTATTTTAAAAACTTTAATGTTTTCAAAAAATTGTTTAAATTTTAAAATATTTTTAAAAAAAATTTAATATTAATTTAAAAAGTCTCTTCTGTACAAGAATCTGTCAGACATAAAAGAACTCATCTGACACTTTCAAAAATAAAAAGCATTAAATTATTAAATTTTAACAGATGGAAAGAAATTGAAGTAAAAAAGGAGTTCCTAAACATCAGAAACACATTTTTTTTCAAGACACACTGGTTCCTAAAAATCCCACTGAATCAAGAAACAGCCCGTGCGAGCCCTGCAGAGCCCGGTGGCTGTTCTCCGAGTTTCTGCTCTAG